ATATTGAAGTTTGCACTTTCAATGAAAATAATAAATGCATCTGATGATCTGTCTGTCTGTCTGTTTATCTATTCCTGCTGATTCCTTGATTGACTTAAAAATAGAATAGACTTTAAAATTTGGGTAAGTTTATTAGACCAATGGAAGGATAGGTCTAAAATGAAAGAAATCACAATAAAGTCCTTGAGTTGTCCTAGTATAGTGGTGGCGAACCTATGGCATGTGTGCCAGAGGTGGCATTCAAAGCCCTCTCTGTGGACATGTGTGCCACTGCCAGCAGCTTGCGCAGGTCCATTAGGCTGCCACCGCCACCCAGAGCAGCAACCCTACCCAGCGCAAAGGAGGTGAAGCGGTTGGATAGGAAGCCCTGCGTAGAGGTGGTAGAGCACACCCATGCCGAGCAAGTCAAAGGCCACCCCAAGCGGGGAAAGCCAGATCCCCATTGGTGCCATGCCCCCCCCCAGTCCCAGCAAGGATTGCATGCCTCCCCCATCTCTGCTGGGCCTGGCGGCTATGATGCCGATGGGGATCCAGCTTGTAAAAGAAGCAGTCGGTTCGGTCTGCTCACCTGATGGAAATGGGACTGAAACAGGGGTCCAGGGAGAATGGACTGCCGAGGGGGAGGCTTGTTCTTCAGAAGAGCTTGCAGGCAAAAGCAAATGATGAATAACCTCCATTTGCTCACCCGCTATGTCCAGGCACTGCAGAGGATGAGCTGCACGACTGGGTGCCTGGCTTTGGGGCAGTAAAAGTGCACTCTCTCTCTCCCTGTACCTCCATTTTCTTTGTGGCCAGAGGGAGTGTGCACGCGGACATGTGGGGTTAAAGGCAGCCACAAGGAACGACCAGTGCCTCCCTACGGCCCGCTCTCTCACTCTCTGGGTGGATTATTTATTTATTTATTTATTTATTTATTAAATTTATATACCGCCCTATCTCCCTTGCGGGACTCAGGGCGGTGAACAGGCGATACTAAAAACCACGAATAAATAGTTTCTGTTTTAAAATCGAATTGAATAATAGGCCTGTTCTAAAAACACATTAAGCTTATGGCATGTGGAAGGAGGCAGACAGTGCAGCATCAAGGGCATGAGGAGGGCCCAAAAGGATGCATGTTGAATAAAACTGTGTTGAGTGGAGTAGTCAAAGGAGCAGTTATTTCACTGTTTTGTGCCTCGCTTGCTTAGAAGTTCTACACAAGTCTCGTCCTAACAAAGTCCCCATCCTGAAAGTTCCTTTTAGTCCTGACTGTGAATTGCTGGGCAGGACTTAAACACAATGCTTGGGAAAAAAGAGGTGTTGCCAATGAAGGCAAGGGGGCATGGCCTTATCGCTGCGTTGAGGGCACAAGTTGGGAGGCAGTCATGGCCGGTGGTGGTAGAAGGTGTGTGTATGTGCGTGTGGACGTCTGGTGGTCGAGGGGCCAATGGTCCATAAGGCAAGATCAGTGGCAGCAGAACAGGGTGGCGCACACAAGGAGGGGCGTCCATGGTGTGGCCTCATGTCTAAGATGCTGCAGAGGAAGCACCACTGGCTCAGCAAGATGCAGGAGTGCTCCGTGTCCTGGGGGAGCGGCTCCAGCCCAGACCCCGACCTCCTGCAGGGCGGTGCAGAACAGGGAGAATTCCCTTATCTTGGGGGCCACCTGCTGACAGTGGCCCCCAAGTGGTGGCATAGATGGTTCCATTTTGCTTTCAGGGAAGCCCCCTGCCCCCAGGGATGTACTAGAGGTAAACGGAACCCCAGAGTGTGCCAATCAATGGGCTGGCAGGCTGTGGCTGTTGACGGACACTGTCGGCCCCCATGCACTCCCTGGTCTCTGTCTGCGGGGGTCGATGGTGTCAGGTAGCAGCCACCCCGGCTCCCGCCTTACCTTACCTCATGGCAATGGCACCCTCGCCCTCCTCCCTGCCTGCTGCCCACTGCCCCACCCGCCAGAAACCCCCTGGATCTCCAACCCTGCCCAGCCCCCACGAGCAACATCAAGGTGGTCACACCCACCCCGGCCATGCCCACCCAGTCTGCCTGTGACCACTGCAGCCACACCCACTCAGTGGACCATGCCCACCCCTGAGGGCACCACAATGCTGATAAATAAGTGAGTTTTGGATTGCAGTTTGGGAACTCGGTCTCTAAAAGGTTTGCCATCACTGTTCTAGTACCTCTTGCTAGTACTTATGAATGTTATTTTTGATGGAAGAGTGAAGTTTTTGTTCTAAAATATTTTGGAGTATGAGCCTTTTCTAGAATCCTCAAATATTTATTATATTTTAAAGTTTACACATTAAACTTTATATTGTAAATATTAGAGGAGTATATGAGTTATATGCAATTTGAATGACCAAAGTTTTATATGATCTAAGTATTTAATGTACAACTACTTGCTTGTTAAATTAAAATACTAGCACTTCACTGAATATTCTTATTTTGAGAAAATCTAATAGATGTTTTAATGTCAGTATCGACATAATAGTAAAATGAATCAGAAAATTAAAATATTTTTGAAACAGTTTTATTTTATATGTATTCATCCAAGAAAGCTGTGCCCCCCACCAGTCTAGATACTAGCTCATCTCTTATCTTAATGTCAAAATCAGAAGTATATCATCTGAAAATAATAAATTTGTGCAATTTTGAATCATACCCAAATTTACTATTTTTGACGCAGCAAAAAAATCTAGTACATCACTGGACAAGTTCTTAAAATATTTATTTTTTCAGTGGTGCTTTTTATTAAAAAGATGACTGTTTACCAAAAAGAATTTAAATGAAAATCAAAAATGAATAACTTAGTCAGCCACAACATAACCTTTGATGATATCCAATTAGGTTTCCCACTACTGGAATGGCAAGACAATGCCCGCTGCAGCTCTATATTCATTTTCAAAAGCTCTGAAGTATTGAGAAGAAGGAAACTGTGTGTCCTGTGGGTAGACACAATCTTCACAAGATGTTGGATTTTTTTCCCTTTCTTAAAATATGAGATAGTGACATGCAGAAACATTTATGTAACATGGTACATGCTATTCCAATGGTAGAGTAGGCAATATGAAAACTGGTTCTTTTCGTCCACAGATATAAGTCTATGATGTTCCAGATGAACTTACATACAATTTTCACAGTCCAAGTTACTGTTGTAAAATTCACAGGATACAGAGTTGATGGACTGTAACCAAAAACTTCACATTTCTCTGCAGTTTTCTCTAAACCTGAACTGCAAAATTGTATGCTAATTTTACAGCACTGAAACATTTGTGCTCTAATTCCAGAAACAGTAGGAAAAAGTTTGGAAATGATGAAAATATGAATAAGAAGAAAAACAAAAATGGCAACATTTTGCCAAAAGAAATAATATGCATCAAACTTGGAAAAATATGTTTGTTCCTTATTATTTATATTTTGTAAATGTAGCACATCAGCTATATTATCAGTTTTGTAAATGTAGCACATCAGCTATATTATATACAAAATAGATCTGAAAATGTTCTATTATTGAATCTATACATTAGAAATGTTCTATTGATTTAATTCTAAAGAAAAAAATCTAATAACCTCGCAGAAATAAAATGATATAGCATGCCATAACAACAGAAAGCACTAAAATTAAATAATATACAGTTATATATTTATGTGCATATTGTGCAAATATATTTTGCATTAATCTTGTTTAAATAATTTTGATAATATGAATGCATTTCCTGTCAAGAAAACAACATTATTTTCTAAATTATCTTTGGAATACTGTTTTTGTTTTTTTTTTATAAAACTTTGAGCTAGAATTACTTGGTTGGCATCATGGATTTTTTTAAAGCTGCATAGTAGCAAAAAGCTTAGAAAGAACTAATTTCATCCATTCTCATAGAACTTTTCTAATCCATAGACCTGTCTTTCAAAATCTCCTGTAATCCAGCTATCTCCTGGAAATTTGAAAATGGTGAAGAAGTACACAAAGCACATGAGAATTAAACTGCCCATACAATAAAACCTTGATTTGATAGATCATGCAGAAGGAAAGTATTTTCATTAAATCTGAATGTTCATAATTTGGATCAATTTTCATTACTGAGGTACAATACATTGTATAAAATCTAGAGGTAATGAACAATCCCTCTATTGGCTAAATCCTTGATTTCATCTATATTAGTTTCATAAATGGAGATTGAGTTGAATTGAATAAGACTTTACTGACTGAAGTCTGCCTTATAAAGGATTTACTGCAGTTTAATCAGAATCTCCATAGATGATAACCCCTAATTTTGAATAGGAAATGATTTAATAAACCCACATTTTAAAAAATCCTGAAAATGTAAACAGTTGTTCAATTTCAAATAACATATTGTAGTAATATGTAAAAATGTTCCTAGCAAAAGTAAAAGTGATCAAGAAAAAGCAAAATTAAAATATTCCATTTTGAAAAAAATATATTAACACAGTAAAAGTATCTCAGAGACTTTCAAGTTGACATGAAACAATTCATTTGGTCAGTATTAAACAAATGAAATTAAAACCTTTTGCTTAATTACCTTACATAATGGACACTGTAAATCAGGGGTGTAAAATTGCCAGCCTGCGGGCCGGACGCGTCACCAGGAAACCGCACCCACCCCATTGCCAGCAATGGAGAAAAAGCTCCGAAATGTCATGCGACTGCACGTGATGTCGCGAGTTTGACATGTCTGCTGTAAATAAGAGTAATTAAAGTAAAGTATATAACTGGTTTTGCAAACAATAGGACAGAATTTTGATGATTTAAATAAAGATTTGGTAATCTTACAGAACTATATTTAT